TCATATGATATTTGAAAATCTTTTTTGTTGCTTTAACTGAATGTAATTGGATAGTATTTTTAAAATAGTAAAGTACATCAATTATTAAATACTGATTCTCAGACAACTTTTTCTCTTACCTTTTGCGTACTTGCGTGGAAGCTGTGAGTATGGTCCCTCTATATGTTGACTTTAAAAAACTTCCATCAACTACAACTGTTGGCCTACAATAGATCCATCCTCTAATCGATGCATATATAGCTATGAATGCATACAAGAAGCTCCCATCTACTTCAGTGTGTAGTTGTGTCACTAATCCTGTGTTAGCGTACTCTATGTTGGTATTTTCTTGTATGACTCACTTGGCGTTCCTCTCAACAATTACATTGCTTTTTCTTTTGATCTCCATGCTTCCATGTAGCTTAAGTCCATATCATATGCTTTTTGGATGTCTCTCTGGATATCTGTTGGTGTATATATGGTTTTTGGGTCAAAAAGTTTATCTTGTACCACAACTGCAACAAAAGCTGAGACAGCTTGCTTTTGTGAACAAAATCTCTTATCATATAAATAACTGTGGACAGAATTAAAATCCGTCACTTTGAAAAGATTTGATGCTCACAGGCTTGATGCTTTAAGTCTCCAAGTGCACCTTTCATCCACGCATTCAAGGGTATACCTGTTATAATACGAATACAGTTATGTCTCATATTTTATTGATAAAAAACACACACACAAATCCGTACAGTTCTATACTCACATAGTATACTTATATAGCATACCCATATACTATATCAGTATCATACTTTGCTGATAAAAACATAGACAAACCAGCACAATTCTATACTCACATAGTATACTGATTTAGCATACATATATAATATATTGGTATTATATTTTACTGATAATAACAGACACAAACCAGTACAATTATATACTCGCATAGTATACTGATATAGCATACTTATATACTATACCAGTATTATCTTTTACTGATAAAAACACAGACAGACCAGTACAATTCTATACTCGCATAGTATACTGATTCAGCATACTTATATACTATATCCATATCATCTTTTAATGATAAAAAAACACAAACTCAAACCAATACAATTCTATACTTACGTAGTATACTGATATAGCATAGTGATATACTATATCGGTATCATATTTTACTGATAAAAATACACACACAAACCAGTAGAATTCTATACTCACATAGTATACCGATATAGCATATTGATATACTATATAGGTATCACATAGTTTTTTACTTGAAAAAATGCAGACGAACCTCTTTGGGCATGATTAATTAACTCGATATTGACATTTATCTCTAACGGCATACTGTTTCATAACGAGAGCCAGCGGGTTCTTGTCTTTGTAAATTTGTCATTTTTCAACTTTTTGATGAAATTGATCAGTTATGATGATTACATCATCAAGTTCTATGCTGGTGTCATCTCTTTCTTGCACATCAAAAGTACTAATCATATCACTGCTTTCAAATTGTGCAATTTCTGATGAAATTTTAGCAACATCAAAACTGGAGGTGCTTACAGCTATCGCATTTTTAGCAAACGACACACATAGTGGGAGTGTTGTCATCCCTCCACTTGATTTTTTCAATTCCATGTAAACAATAACACTCATATCACTGCAAATTGTAATTGGTGGATATCCTTGAGCAATAGCATACTGAATAACTATTGTATTACTGTCCTTTTGCAGTTGCTTTGAAATTTCTCTGAGAAGTTGTTCAAATTTCCAATATGTCTTTATTAGAATTGCATCAACATGAAAGTTTATGAAATTATGGTTATCATCCCATTCTCCACTATGCTGTAGCACAATTGGTATATTGTCCATGATTCTAAAGTTATAACTACTTTTATGTCCAAAATTGAATCTCGGCAATGCAAATTTCAACAGTGTTGATGTCAAATACTGAATTTCAACAAAACATTTTTCGAAATCAAATCAGATGTTATGGTTCAAACCTCCACATCTCCAGATCTCCAAACTGAGAACAGAATTGTCAGCTAAAAATTCAAAAGTTTGAGCGCTAAACTTCTGTAATCTGCAAAATCAAAATCGGAAAAATAAGATGCGAATTGGAGCATCAAAAGTTTTAGCATCTTCCAAAGAGAAAAACTCGAATTTTAAAGAGAAATCAGCATCTTCGCTCTGTTTTTGTGCGCGAACTTTCAAATCTTTGCTCTGTTTTTGTGAGCGATCTTCAAATCTTCAACATATGTTGGTGGAAATCTCAATTTTTTTATGCTAATTTTCTGAATTTTTTAGCAGCTTTTGCGTTTTTATAGGTATGGCATTAGCATTATTTTGAGATACTCGTTTGTTTATTAATGGGTAGGGGATTGTAATTATTTAATAGGTAGAATTTTTTTATGGGTAGAGCAGAGTAAATATTTTAACTTTTGTAGGTACTCTTGTCTTTTCCCCTAAAATATTTCGGTATTCGGTATTTCGGTTTACCAAAGTATTGAAACTTCAATAC